ACACAGACAAACAAAAAAAATACACAAAAAAACGAGAACAACGACCAACACCTGCTTCCAGATGGGGGCAGAACCCTTGGAACAATATATGCGATTCTGCTAAACCCCTCCCCACCAAAACCCGCAGGCTGGAGATTATACCAAACGCACAGGTCAACCGAATTTCGCTCATGATCCCGTCCAACCTCCACAAAGGAACATAGACAAACGCGACAGCCACTAGCCAATCTAATATGGGGAATTAACCCCACGAGAGCGTACGGAAAAAGAAAAAGTCCACATAACATAGAGAAGACCTACGTACGAACTCACTGATTTACCGCAATCCAAACTAGCGCACGACGAGGCGACTTTGATTATCCCATACTTTAGGGTGAGACTAATAAGCTGTAAACTCAAGCGCTTCGAACGCCCCATTGCCCAACGCCGAGGATACTCAGCAAACTCAACACTTCCTGCGCGCCAGGCCGTTCCCAACAATGTCGTGTCGGATGCGCCTCTTATTGACGTCCGTCCACGGGTATTACGAGTCACAAACAAACCTGTGTAGCATCCAAAACACATTTGCGTAGCGAAGAACTGCCAAGAGATAAATACGGCCACACTAGAAACGCCACAAGGAGACGAGAGTCTGCCAGAGGCACGGAGAACACCTCGACCGTCCCAGCACTTCCACGGCAAGGGTGTCATAGCCCTTGTACATTAGCTCTACTAAATGTGTGGCTAACCCTTCCTAGCGGCTTTGATGGGATAGTCGTTGTCGTAACCCTCGAACGCGGCGAACTCTTTCAACCACCTGTACACATTGCGGGCCGAAATGGGCGTAAGCGCGTAACCCATGACATGTTTAAGGTGGTCGAGTACAAGTTTAAAATACGACAACAGGGCGGAAGTAAAACTACACCACCACGCCGTCGATGGTTGTTACATTGCTACACCTGCGTATGTTCGAAGCGACGCAACCGAACACTCAGCAGTCAAGATACATAACGTGTTCAACCAAAACGCTGAACGAATACAGGAAACATGGCAACCATTGCACCTTGTCATCGTCGTGTACGCAATGCCTGCAGCATTGAGATACTTGAGCCGGTCATGCAGCTTCTTGCCGGTGCGGGTTCTGCTGCATTCGCGGTCCGCCCTGACAACCCGGCGCAGTCCTCCCACAGTCCGGCTCATCTCGAACTCAAGCTTCGCCGCCCGAAGCTTTGCCAAGGGCTCGTCTGCGGAACCAAGCCGTTGGGGTGAGCATTATCGTTTGACAAATTAGGCATCTAACAAGGTGTGGATTGGTGAGCTTCAATAAACAGAAAGGTCCGCAGAAGTGGGTCGTCAGGGTCGGCATCAACGACAACCTACAACACAGAGCCGCGGCAAACTACGACGTTGATATTTCGAGGAAATCCGTAGGGGCGTGAAGACCGCAGATCGAAGACACGCAGAAAACTGAAACGAAAACCCATCGTCAACATCCGACAAACAGACTACGGTAACTCGTGTACTCACCACCCTCGAAGACATCGCCCTTGGGGCCCGTCGCAGCGTCCGTGGATTGCTGCCTAGCCCCACTGCCCGTTGAGCTGCCCATGTCCTTCAGGCGGGATTCCGACCGGGATCGTCCCCGTCGTGGGCTGTGCTGACCGCTATCTCCCGAGGGCGACAGGGCAGGATACCCACACGCGCCACCGCCGCCGTCGCGATCGCTACTCCTGTGACGTCTGCGGGTGTCTCTGGGAGTGTCCTTCAGGCTGCGGCGCTGTCGGCTTGGCGAGCACTCCCTACTGTACCACTCGTTGTGACCGTAGTGACCGTAGGAGGACGGATGGCGGCAGTAGCGCGGGCGACTGTCAGAGCGTTGGCGGTGGTGCGGCCGATGACGACTGTCCCTGCTGCTTCCGTTGAGCCGTGAGTGGGGTGATCCTGAGCGCGAACGGGAGTACCGGAAATATTCGTACCTTCCCTGATAGCGCCTTTCGTCGTCTTCGTGGCGACCGGCATAGTGCCTACGGTTCGATCGAGAACGCGACCGTGAGTAGCGCCTGGAAACCCCCTTGCTCCGGCCGCCGCCGTCCCTCGGCCGACTGCCGTGACGGCCCCTGCTCGAGCCTGGGCTACGGTAACGGCCCCTCCCGTAGCTCCCGCTACGGTGGCGTCCACGGTCGCCGTCGCGTGACCGCGACCGGTATGTGCTCGTGCCTCCCCGCCTTCCGGAGCGACTGTCCGACCTCTCCCCGTAGGTAGACGATCGTCCCTGCCGCCCTGGAGAGAGAGGGGAAGTCTCCATGGCGCCGTTAGGCCCGAGTGTGGCCGATTGGCTGTTGACGCCCCCATCATGCTGGTCTAACCCGTGCGCGGGCCGCAATTTCGTGCCGTCACCCGGCACAGCAGTACTCGGCACTCCAGTATTGGGCGTATTAGAGGGAAGGTGCTTCGCTAGTTCGGCCTGGTGGATGGAAATTGGAAGGTAGGGGCGTAAAAATAGAGCACAGGATCAGACGAAAACAATTCGACGTCCTCGTTTAGTTGGGAAGCATGTACAGACTAAACGGCAGAGATAGACAGGCAGGCCCACCGTAAGGGATGGTGTACTACTCAACGTTATGGACTTAAACTTGAGCAGGCGGTTTGGCATGACATGTCACCCTTAGGAGGCAGGGCCGCAGACGGGAATCACTTATGAAGCAGGCAACCGAACCACCAGACTTCTTGAGCGAACCATATCATCACCTGCAATGCGTCGTCGTTTGCCTTCCTCACGTCCGCACGCTCGCCTTGCCTGCTCTGCTTCTTCGTCCGACTATTGTAGAGTGCGTCCCACTTCTTGTCTTTCTCGGCCAACAGAACCTCCATGGCCTTCTCCCTGGCATCCTTCTCACCCTCAGTTTCCTTCGCACAAGGAACTGGCTTGCCCTTTTTGCCCATGCCTTTCGCAGCCGAAGTCGAACCAGCTGCGGCCTTCCGCGTAACAGGCGTCCCCCGCCCGGTTTACCTTCACCGAAGCAGGCGACTTCGATGAAGCGGCCTTACTCTTACCAGGCGCACCGCCGCCATTCTTCTTCGCCGAGGCGGGTGGGCCCCTCACCGTTGCGGGCTTGCTCTTCGCACGCCGCCTTCCTGCCAGCTTGCCTGTGGCGTCCGACACCTCCACCGACTCGACGGACGACGAACGGGCAGAGGGTTTTAGCGGTCTGCCCGCTCGGCTCGTCTTTGTGGCACGCTCCTGCATGATCTCAACGTCCGAGTCCCAACCCAACGTATCTAACTCCTGTTGCGCCGTCCTCGCCGCAGGTTTGCGGCCAACAGGAGGCCTCCCGGGCCTACCCCGGCTGTTGGCGACGACAAGCTCGTTGCAGAAGTCGTCGTCCTCATCCTCTTCCTCTTCCTCCTCCTCCTCCTCCTCCTCTTCCTCATCCCCCTGTTCCTCTTCCTCTACCGACTTCGTGTCTCTAGCACCGTCTAGCCCGCTGCCCTCGTAATCCCTAGAGTGACGCACGTGCCCGAGGGTGCTCCCGGGCGGCTGTAATTGCTTCATGTCTGGGCCGTTCAAACGTGAGATATAAAAAGAATAGACGAAACGGGACGATTGTAATCACTAAAGGTTGCTACATAGGGGAGCCGGTGGGGGTCCTTTGCGTTTAGAGGCATCACGGTGTACATGTTCTCGAGCAAGTTAACTGGCTTGTCGATACAAAAACGAAGCGTGATCCTCGGTGATGACATGGACGAGCAGGGTGGAGGGAGACACCCGCCAGGGGAGATAACAACAGGAGCATGTGACTTACACCCTATAGGGCCCTAACCTTAGCTAAACGTGGACCGGAGGTGAAGACAAAAGGATTTTGGTGATATTTCGTCAAACGATGTCCATGAAGATGTTAACACACACACACACACACACCTCACCACCAGCGAGCGTCGATTTGCATGGCTCGGAGAAATGGACGTGCTTACACCGTTAGGACCTTATGAAAAACAGGAAGATGGATGCGGGAGCGAGTTGGAAAGCACAGGTGTTGTGCACATTAAGCTTCACCTACCGGATTGGGGTGTTGGTGGTAACATGCGGGTTGATCGGCCCTATTAAATAGGGCTGTTTCAGTTATCAATAGCTGGGAAAGCAGATCGGGGCCCACTAACGCACTCCCTATACGCACAACCAAACATGATGCGGAAGCTATGACCACCCCTATAATTTCTTGCGTGCGAGGACACCGTCTACTACCGTCCGACAACTGCCGTCTCTGGTCAAGTATCGTTCTTGTGTCGATAACATCTCGCAGTGCTATGGCCTCTTCCAACCTTTTGTAGCAAGACCAGTATCCATAGCACAAAGCATATTCCATGTTCAACTTGTTGGATTTGGTGGTGAGCGTCGGGGTATAATGGGTAACTTAGTCGAGCGAAGGGAGAATTATAATCTGGCCTTAGGTCTCCCCGCAATATAGGACCCCATCAAGACGAAAAAGTCTGCCGCGCCGTCTGTTCGGTTTCGGTATTTTTTTTTTCCGACCACTCGGTGGATTGCTGCCGAGAACACACGCACGGGCGACACCACACAACAGACAACACACGCAGAGCAGACTGCGTACGCTTATCAGTGCCTGGACGTACAGCAGACAACGACAGCATCTGGGCTCGATGCCGCCGACCTCCCTCTGGTGTGAGTCGGCTATGTTTTGCTGTCGCGCACGTACGTACTTCTTTTCGTCAAGATAAACTGACAGCAACGTGAGCACAGCACCACATTTGTTCTTTGAACCTAGGACGCCGATCGCCATCGCACCTCTTCGAGCGTGTACCCCATGGTGGTATATCTGGGCGTGATAGTTGGACTGGAATGTCTATGTTATCCACTCTGGCGAAGTCTAGAGCGACTTTGTCAAATCCTTCGCCCGGGTATAGCAGCGTAAACTTTGGATGTTAGAGCTAGCTGCGGAACGGGCTTGAAGCAGCAGCCCTTGCACTTTTGATAGCACCACATTTGCCAGATTCTGAGCGAAAACAGGCCGAACTAAATATCTTCGCGTGTACAACACGACATGCTTCAGGCATCCTGGAAGCTTTATGGCACGCAGCTACCTGTGTGAGGAGCACCAGCTATGACAAAGGTGTGCACCAGATGTTGCGCTGGGCAACCCCAAATGGGGCCTTACGCGGGGTAGTTTCGATTTTCGCGGATCCCCTAGTCTACAGCAGCAGCGTTTTACCCTTCGTCCGGTCGCAGGAGGAATTCCATGAAGATGCGTTAGTTTTCGGTCGTATCCGCGACCCACCAGAAACAAATTTGAGCAACCATACACGTACAAATAAGAGTTGGTCACTTTTCATGCTTCGGTGTTTCTTTCTCTCGCGGCAGCGAGTCTTTTATCGCGGTTCCTTCTCAGGGGCACGCAGGAGGCTCGTCGGTACATTAACGCCCATGCCCGGAGCTCGGTAGGCCTCCGTGGCGCGTGTGGTTGACGGCCAAAGTTGCGAAAACTGGCTCAAAACCCCGGGGACGCGTTCTGCGCTGACAAAGCCTGGCGAACCAATTCTGAAACCTATCAAACCCATCAAATACGACGGTTTGAAATATTTGCCTCTTGCCTCTCCACGTTCATTTATTTCGTTCTTTCATTCATTTATTCGATGATTCATGGCTGGCTGTGACTCTTCGTGTCATCGCGTTGTCCAACAGCAGTACCTACGTTTACTGCATTTCGCAGCGGGCCAAGTGTAGACAAGTCTGAGTGCATGCATCCAGCCGCAGTGTTGAACATGTCCTATTTGTGGTGTTGTTTCGGCTTCAAATTTGGGTCTCATGGGGAAAAAATCTGCTATCATCAATCAAAGACGTCATGGAATTCTGAGTTTTCGCTGCCAAAATATTGTCCGCTCGAGCTGGCTCCAATGTAGAATAGCAACGTGCG